ACTATCGGGGTTTTCTGTTGGGGTTGGGAGGGCTGGTTTGGCGAGGGGGGGGGTCTGGGAGCTGGGCGGAGGGGTGCAGGGCAGTGGGGGGGTGCAGGGCAGTGGGGGTTCTGGGAGCTGGGCGGAGGGGTGCAGGGCAGTGGGTGGGTGCAGGGCACTGGGGGGGTTCTGGGAGCTGGGCGGAGGGGTGCAGGGAGCTGGCTGGGCAGAGCGCTTGAAGGGGGGACAGAGTCTGGCCAGGGCCAAGCAGAGGAAGTCAGGGTAGCAGGGAGCGAGGAGGGGAGCAGGAGTTAAGGTTCCCTCATCCTGGAGAGTGGAAGACCTAGGGTAACATTTCATTCCATTCTCCCCTTAAAGGAGCAATGTATCCAGCTCCCCTCCTCCAGTCCCTGCCTGTGTCGCTGCAGGGCTGGCCAAAGTCACTGCTGCTGAACTGTCATGGCTCCCTGCATATTTTGGGCATGAGAAGAAGCAGGAGAATAGCGCTGTCCAATAGCTTAGACATCCAGTTGGAGTCAGGGCTTCCGGGCTCCTTTCCTGCTCTGCCTTTGACATTCTGTGTGACTTAGCTCCCTGTGCCTCCTTTTCCCCACATGTGACTTGGGGCTACTACTTGGGAGCCCTGTTCCTGTAAGCTGAGCACATGGGCGGCCACCCAGGACAGGTTCATATGCCGCCCAGCTGATTAGCAGAGCACCTACAGCTGCCAGCATGTGTTTATTCTGGTGGTGCATAATCCTCTGTTCACATAACAAAATTTATTCCTTGCATGGATGGAAAAACAGAAGGAAAATTACTTGCAAGCAATAATTACTGGGTACTTTGGAATCTGATGAGACTAAGGTGTTATAGAAGAGCCAAATATTATCTGTTGTAATTATGATTATTCAGTGGCTTTGTCTAGTTTTGTCAGAAAGTCTGTCTTTGGCTGCTTGTTTTCTCTATTTCAAGAGCACCTGTCTCTTCAGGAAGAGGGGAAACTGTACAAGGTTTTAGCAGCTGCTGTTTTCAGAAATTTAGAAGCATCAGTTTCCTTCTTTCAAGACGATCCGTCGTATACAAGTATGAGCTTGTTTGGGATAGAGGAGGGAACAGATCTCAGGATGAAGTAGGATAGAAACCTGGCTGACAGCGTCCCATGTGCTGTTTTAGCAGTCACAATCGGCAATACATTTCCTCCAAATACTCTTATCTACCCCTTTCTGGGGTGTTCATACTCTGTTCTCATGCTCACCAGCTCTTGGCATGAGTCCCTCTCCCAATACCTAGGCCTGTTTGTCTTTCACCCCTACGTCTTCCTGCTCTGAGTTGTATTCCTTTTTTAATCCGCACCTCAACATTCTACAGTTTAGAAAGAGAATAGACAGTGAAACAAGATAAACACGGCCTGTGACTAACCCTGAGCATGACAGAGGGTGTGCCAATAGGGAAGTTGCACTAGCTGAACTAAAGGTGTGGCTTTCAGCCTCTGTAGTTACATGAGTACAACTTCGTATATAGACAAGACCAATAGTGAACCCTTTAGGGCTGCTGGAAGTTGGGAAGTCATATTCTGTGCTAAAACAGACTGTGGGGGGATATTTCTGATTGTCCGTTATACACACTAGAGAACATTAATGCTAATTCTTGCTAGTGGGTATACAAAGAGAACAACATGCATGAACTTTTCAAACATCCTGAATGAACAACTCAAAGGGAGATCATGCAAGTGCTTTCTTGACATTGACTATAGCTTTGCTTTAAACAAACCATTCGAGAGAGGATAAATAATCAGTAAAACTTGAGGCATGTCAACTTAGAGGAATAATAACAATTAGTTCTGTGTACGTCCTTTCCATGTGGATGTTGATGAGCGAGTTTCAAAGACAAGCTGTTACTATAGCAGTTGTTTGGCCAATAGTTATTGCCTCGGTTAACCGTTTACTGAGAGTATTCTGTATTTTCTAAGTGCATTCAAGGTGCATTTCACAGAAGTTAATTAAGCCGCAAAAAAATCTTTGTAGGGTGGATAAATATTATCCCCTTTTTGTAGTTGGGTAAGCGGAAGAGAAGTGACTATTGAGTGTAACTAGTAGGCCGGTCAGTAGCCTGTAGCTTGGAGGCCTGATGCTTTGCCCCACAAGCCAGTTATCAGAGTGCTTTGTACTTCAAAGAAGTGGGAAGTTACTGATTTGCTAAACTGTTCATAAAAATAACCTTTGACATAGTGTCCTGCTGTCTGGACTGAGCAAGCAATGTTCTAACTGACAAGAATCCAAAACAAGTAAGCAGCAGCTGTTGATTATGCCGTTGAAAATTTATGAAATACAAAAACTCCGGAAGTGAACTGCAAGTAATCTGTTTCTGTATAGAAAAGGGGAACCAATCGGAACAGCCTGGGATATAGCTGTGCTAGGCTGTATGCAGGTAATTGGAGCAGGCTCAGAGCAGAGGATGAGTGTGGCGGGTTGTAGGACTGGTTCTCACAGACTGTGATAACTCCTCTTTCCACAATGTGCTGTCTGATTAACTAATTACTTAATAAATCTAGTCAATTTGACTTCTTTAATTACTGAACACGTTCAAAGTGTGCTAAAACCCTTGTGGGAACAGCATGCTGCTTGGCAGAGCTGGGAAAGAAACCCAGAAATTCTGGTCTCTTGCCCTCTCATCGAACAGGTGGTAGAGTTGTGTCTATAGTGTGACTGTGTTTGTGTCACTCACTGCGCTTATGGGAAATCCTGGAAATCGAGTTGGAAAGGGAAACCGAGGGCAGGACATGTAACAAGAACGAGGGGTCTCCCCATGACATGAATAGGCAGCAGGTTGAAAAGAAATGACTACTCCACCCTTGGCCCGGTCAACCTGTGGAACTCATTGCCAGGGTACTGAGCTAGATAGCGTAGCTGTTCTTTTGTTTTTTTTTTTGGTTTTGGACAGTCAGAGGGGGTGCCTCCCAGAGCTTACAAGGGGCACTGGGGAGGGGCAGATGAACCGTGCCCTCGTGTGACCTTTTCTGGCTCAGCCGCTTAGTGTAATAGTTCAGTGAGCAGCTTGGCTTTGGCCTCCAACAACAACAGGCCCCCATGGAAACCCCCCGTTCCTCTCCTATCTGCAGGCAGGTTTCTGGATCCCGTCTTGTGGCGTAGCACTTCACAACAGAGAGACGGGAATACAATGGTGCCCTGTGGCAGCCCACCTATCTGGTTGGTCCGCCCACGGAAGCTAAGCGTGGCACTTGGTTTGTGTGAGATCTCTCATCTCCATTGCTCTTTATAGTGAGCCAAAAGCCGGTGCCACTTCTATTCCCTTTTCACCAGGGGCTGTGCTTTATTTTTGAATTGCCTCTCCTGCCCTGTTCCCTAGGCTTTCAGGCCTCGTGAGCATCAGTTGCAGCGATGCCTGGCAGAAATTGCTTGTAAACAGAGTCAGGGGAAATCTCTTTTATAACTGTTAACAGCTTAACTGGAGGTGAGTTGATGTATAGAGCCCTGTGCGGAGACAAAATTTGCATCTGCATCTGTAGCCACAAAAATGCGCCACGGATGTCCGCATTGACATCCGTGGATGCGGGTATAACTCATAGACTTTAAGGTCAGAAGGGACCATTATGATCATCTAGTCTGACCCCCTGCATAGTGCAGGCCACAAAATCTCACCCACCCCTCCTAGAATAATCCTCTCCCCTATATCTCAGATATTGAAGCCTTCAAATACTTTGAAGACCCCAAGATGCAGAGAATCCTCTAGCTGTGATCTGTACCCCATGCTACAGAGGAAGGCGAAAAACCTCCAGGGCCTCTGCCAATCTACCCTGAAGGAAAATTCCTTCCCGACCCCAAATATGGCAATCAGCTAAACCCTGAGCATGTGGGCAAGACTCACCAGCCAGACACCCAGAAAGTGCCCTATAGCAACTCCTATCATCCCTCCATTGACCTATTTCCAACTGATAATGAATGGTCAATTAGTTACCAAGATCATGTTATTTCATCCAACCATCCCCTTATCATAGAATCAGAACTGGAAGAGACCTCAGAAGGTCGTCAAGTCCAGCCCTCCGCTCTAGGCAGGACCAATCCCATCTAAATCAACCCGGCCAGGGCTTTGTCAAGCCGAGACTTAAACACCTCTAGGGATGGAGACTCCACTACTTCCCTAGGTAACCCATTCCAATGCTTCACTACCCTCCTAGTAAAATAGTTTTTCCTAATATCCAATCTGGCCCTCTCCCACCACAACTTGAGACCATTGCTCCTTGTTCTGCCATCTGTCACTACTGAGAACAGCCTCTCTCCATCCTCTTTGGAACCTCCCTTCAGGAAGTTGAAGGCTGCTATCAAGTCCCCCCTCACTCTTCGCTTCTGCAGACTAAACAGACCCAAGTCCCTCAGCCTCTCCTCGTAGGTCAACCGTCCCAAGACCGTATTAGCCTTTTCCACGGCCATGTCACAATGGCGGCTCATAGTCATTCCATAATCAACCAGGACTCCGAGGTCCTTCTCCTCCTCCGTTACTTAACTGATGTGTCCCCAGCTTATAACTAAAATTCTTGTTATTAATCCCTAATGCATAACCTTACACTTCTCACTATTAAATTTCGTCCTATTGCTATCACTCCAATTTACAAGATCATCCAGATCTTCCTGTATGATATCCCGATCCTTTTCTGAATTGGCAATAGCTCCCAACTTTGTGTCATCAGCAAATTTTATTAGAACACTTCCACTTTTGGTGCCAAGATCAGCAATAAAAAGATTAAATAAAATTGGCCCCAAAACTGATCCCTGAGGAACTCCGCTAGTAACCTTCCTCCAACCTGACAATTCACCTTTCAATATGACCCGCTGTAGTCTCCCCTTTAACCAGTTGCTTATCCACCTCTCAACTTTCATATTAATCCCTATCTTTTCCAATTTAACCAATAATTCCCCATGTGGTACTGTATCAAATGCTTTACTAAGGTCGAGGTAGATTAGATCCACTGCATTTCCTTTATCTAAAAAATCTGTTACTTTCTCAAAAAAGGAGATCAGGTTGGATAACGTGGGTGTCTGTGGATTTGCAGGGCTCTAGTGATGTACCACAGAACTCTAGTGACTAGTAGTGCACTGGCTGGGCGTGGCGGAGGCACACAGAGGTCAGCAGGTGATAGGAATATTCTCACACCTGTGTGGAGTGGGACTGGCTTCCAGTGCGACATTTCAAACTCAGATCCTCAGTTGGGGAGTTGGACATGCGGCCTCCAGTTCCGAGCGGGAGAGTCAGCCTGCCGAGAGGAAAGCAGTAGCGTATGCCGGGGCAGGCTAGGAACACGGTGAAGGAGACTTTCCAAGAGGGATCTGGATCTCAAATGTGGCCATCTGACGTGAGGAGAGATGTGTGTGTTTGTTTCCGTGTGGCTTTGTGCCTCTCCCCTGCCGTGCAGTCTGGGGCATATCAGTCTGGGCAGAGCCGGAGCAGGAAATGGGCTGCTCTTCTGTTCTGCCATTCAGCAGCACTCTGAAGAAAACCCGAGGCCAGAGACTTGTTCCCTCATTGGCCTGGGCTTGAAACTGCCCGTCAGTCTGTGATCCCAGGACACAAGCCAGCAGTTTGTCTGGCAAGCAGTAATTCCGCTTACCCAAAGTGGGTTCGTGGCTGCCAGCTGCCTGGATATTGTCTCCGGGGCTGGGTGTGGCGCATTCAGCTCCAAATCGAGCGTTACGGGAGAGGTGACCAGCAGGGAGAGCCAGCACACCGCCTGTGTCCACAAACACAAGGGCGCTCCTTCTCTCGGAGCCAGCTGCACCAGGGGGCTTTGCAGCGCCCTGGCTGTGTTTTAAGGGAGAGTTTCTCCAAGGGCGGCTTTTTGGGTCAGACTGGGCCCGGGGGGAAGCCCGTGTCCGGAGTGGGTTGAGGGAAGGGTGCTCACTCTGTCCTGGCTCTCCACAGCTCGCTTGTCTGATGCTGCATTGGAGGAGGAAGGGGCCACTATGGAGTGCGGTCATGGAGGCCTCGCTGTGTATCCGCACGTGCCTTTGGCTGGTTCCAGCCTGCATTCCCTTGCTGTCGCCAAATGGACTTGCACACGGTACAGAACCCCTCCCTGGGGCTAGGACCCAGGAGCTGCCTCACGGCTCTGGGGCGTTAACCTGGGCAGTGCACCTGAACGTGCCGGAGGGCTTGGCCTCCCGCGAGGAGGAGCTGGAGCAACAGGCGGATGAGCTGGCCAGGACAGGAGGCCTGGTGAACCTGGGCCGGATCGGGGAGTTGAAGGGCCATTACCTCTTCACCCACCAAGCAAGTGGGCAGCGCGAGCGAGGCCCTGAAGCAATAAGGAGATCGGTAGAGGCTTTATTTGCACAGCACGACAGCGTGCGGTGGCACTCGGAGCAGAAGCTTCTGAAGCGCTCCAAACGCAGCCTGCACTTTAATGACCCCAAATACCCCCAGCAGTGGCATCTGGTGAGTGTCCTTCCCGTCCTGGCGGCTGTGGGATCCGGCCACTGCTCTGGGCAGGCTGCAGAGCTGCCGGGCGGGCCCTGGGAAGTGGGGGAGGGAGGGAGAACAGCCTCTGGCAGGATAAGGGGATTTCGCCCATCAACAAACTCCTAGAAACAGAGGCACTGTCTGGCCCAGTTCCTGTATTGCCGGACCACTGCCGTGGCTGGGCCCCTGGCTGGCTCGCTAGGCACGCAGGGCACAGAACTCCCTCCCATCCTTGGACGCAGTCCCCTGGACCGGGGGTGCTCCGCAGGGTGTCATTCCATCTGCTGGGGCTGGCGACCCTGCAAGCAGAGCGGGGAAGGAGGGTCAGCATGCACGGGAGGGGGGGGGCTGCTCCCGTAGAAACTGACCGGTCCTGATTCTTACTGGGGCAGGGAGGCGGCAGGAGTAACACGAACCTCAGTGGGGCCAGCCAGAGCGTTGTGCGGGAGTCAGGCTGGGGTGGGAGTCCCAGCCTTCCTTCTGCAGCAGGGAATAGGTACCAGCCTCGGGCCCCGGGAAGTCCTGCGGCCGCTTGCAAAGCCCAGGCATCAGCGTCACGCCCCTGCCCAAACCAGGGCTGTGAGCAACTGCTCCTGTCCTCCCCCGTGCATGCTGACCCTCCTTCCCCGCTCTGCTTGCTCACCCCTGCTTCTCCCTGCCGGCGCGCAGAACAACCGGAGGAGCCCGGGAAAGGACATCAATGTGACGGGTGTGTGGGAGCGGAACGTCACCGGCCGGGGGGTGACCGTCGTGGTCGTGGACGATGGGGTGCAGCACACCGTCCGAGATATACAGCCAAACTACGTGAGTACGCGCAGCGCGCCTGGAGTGCGCCGCCTGGGCTCCGGGGCTGAGTCACCGGGCCCTTCTGAATCACCAGGCCCTGGGCAGTTGCCCCCTCTGCCTGTTCCTCAGCCCTTTCTTGGTGGGCCTGTGATGCTAGTCCTGCCCCGTCAGAGGGAAGGGTCAGGGGGTGGAATCAGAGGAGCGGAAGGGCCTGGCGTGTATCCGGGTGTGCAGGAGGCTACGTGAGCACTGCCCGCACAGCCAGCGAGCAGCAGATGTCCGGGGCCTGCTGTTCCCAGCTGCTCAGCCGTGGGCACGCGGAGTGAGGTGCCCGTCCGGAGAGCTGCTCCCTCAGGCAGGGAGGCGTGGCCAGGCCAGCTCGCCGGGAAGGAGCTTTTCCTCGCCTGCACGGGAGAGGTGGCAGCCGCGTTTGCTGCCTTCTGCTCTCTGCCGCTGGGTGAAATGAGGGTCCCTGGCCTCTGCGTGCAGGTGTGGCCGTTGTGTCTCTCTTGGGTGCGAGGGGCCGCAGGCTTTGGGCACTGCCGACGTTCCCTGTCTGCACAGGCAGGCCGGGCAGAGAGCAGCTGCGGGCGAGGGACGAGTGTCACAGCAGTGGCTCGGAAGATGCCTGTAAAACCTCAAACGCTCAGGCCCCCTGGTTCCTGTGCCAGAGTGCTGGATGCCGTGGCAGGGGCCCGGCGGCTCTGTGTTGCCATCCCTATCTGGCTTGTGCGTGGAGAGAGAATGGAAACCGGGGGCCTCGGAGGCTGGGGCAGGTGTAAATCGGGAGCTGGCGATCGGAGAGAGAAGTAGGCCCCGCTAACAGCAGGGCAGGGAGAGGACGCTGGCTGGGCTGGGGAGGAGGGCGTGTTTTCTAGGTGCTTCAATGTCTTTACATTTGGCTTCCCCAGTCCACTGCCCAGTGTTGGCGATGAGGAATGGGGATTGGTCGCTAACCCACACGGGCCCTGCCTCTGCTGTCTCTAGGCTTTCAGCCCATGCTTTTCAGGCCTGGGAAGAGACTAACTGTTGATTTCTCCAAAGAAGGGAGACCTCTGAGCTACAGTTGTGGGTCTGTTTCAGAGCCCCGAAGGCAGCTATGACTTGAACTCCAATGACCCTGACCCTATGCCCTACCCTGACGCAGAAAACGGGAACCACCATGGGACCCGGTGTGCTGGAGAAATCGCAGCTGTCCCAAACAACGGCTTCTGTGCCGTGGGCGTTGCCTATGGCAGCCGCATTGCAGGTACGCTGCCCCCCTGCCTCAGGGAGGGAGGGTTCGATGGGCGTGTGTTGCCTTGGCTCCCCTGCCATGCTGTCTGAGGCAGGTTGGCGAGTTACAGCCCAGTCAGTCTGTTGTTGGTTTGGATGCGGATTGCAAGAGAAAGATCCGTGCTGACTCCTCGGCCCCAGAGGCTTGGGGTGTTTGGATGTTGGGGTTTCGCGTGGCCCCATTGCTAGAAGGTGCAAGTTGGGCTTATGTTTGGGAAGCTCCTCTGAGCGCCTGCACCCCAGTGTCCTTCTCTGAAACGGTGTCCTCCTCGCATCTGCCAGAGGGTCCCAGTCCTGCCTGCTCCCTCGGCGCCTATGGCGGCTACACTGGCGCCTGGTGCGCTCATGGCCTTGTGCAGGAAACCAGCCTGATCAGCCAGCGCAACTGACGGGCTGTGTGGTTTGCAGAAAGTCCGGTTCCGGTGGAGCGGTGAAAGTGGCTGTGCCCCTGCGGCTCCGTAGTGTGAGCCTCCCCACGCCCCAGGCAGGTGTGAGCTGGTGGGTCTTGCCCGGGACATTGGTGCAGCCACGCACAGATCTGACCCAAAAGCTCCCTGGGCTTTGCTGGGGCAGACATGAGCCTTGGAGAAACCCACGCTCGGGTGCAGGGATCCCACCCAGCGGTCTGGCTCCCAGAGCCCTTTTCATGCCAGTGAAACGAAGCGGGTGCCAGCCCCCAGCAGGCCCGAGCATTCCCCTAGCCCTTTGTCTCCACAGGCCGTGGCTGGACACGTGTTCTGTGCAAAGAAAGGTTCCTGTTATCCTTTGGGTTTGGGTAGGGACTAAAACCACCGTGACACCCATTGATTTCAGTGAGCGCTGAGAGAATGTAGGCCCGCAACCTGGACTCTCCACCAGTGTTCCCTGTAAGCTGAGTGCCCGGGTGGCCCCCCAGGATAAATTCAGGTGCCCAGCTGATGAGCAGAGCAACCACAGCACCCACAGCTGGCATCATGTGTTTCTACTGGTGGTGCACCTCTGCACATGCCTTGGTGCACATAACAAAATGTATTCCACCGCGAAGGGAAAAATTCGAGGGAACTTTGCTCTGTACTGATGTTGCATATCCCTGCAGTCCAAGCCATGACCCAGCTGGCTGATGCAGATGGCCACAGGCAGTACGGACATGTCCGTTGGGTGTCTGTGAACGTAATAGCCCTGCGTGTCCGCTTGTCCAGCAGATGGCGGTGCTCTCCTTATGATGAATCCAAATGTCCCCGGAATAGGGAGCCCACGGGACTGCAAGAGGAGACTAAAAATCAGTTGTGCTCCTGCAGCGTTGGAGTCCTTGTCCCTGTCCCTCGCGGCCCCTGCGCAGCCCCTGGGCAGGTGTGCATGGCTCAGGCCCCTCTCTAGTGTGTACTGCCTGGCTGGGCTTTGGTTACTGCCATTGGGAAGTGGAGCTTATCTAGCGTAGTGCACTAGGAAGAATAGACTTGTAGATTAAGCCATGGGGCCAGGGTCTACTCTCAGCTCGGCCAGGGTGACCTCTGTCTGGCAAGACACTTTGTTTCTCTCTGCCTCGGTTTCCCCATCTGTCCCTCGCAGAGGAGGTGAGAGCGTAAATCCACGTCTCTGCCCTGCGTGGAGGCCGATCCGTGGACGGAAGGTGCTCTAGATGGCCAAGTGTCTATTGGCATTAAGTCGAGGGCCGGCGGGCAGATTTTGGTTCACACTGGTTTTACGGCTAACTTGGCCCATTCCAGAAGCGCTAATTGTCCTTTGCTGTGCAGGCATCCGAGTCCTGGACGGCCCCCTCACGGACAGTATGGAGGCCATCGCGTTCAACAAGCACTATCAGATCAATGACATCTACAGCTGCAGGTGAGCCGAGAGCGCGGGCAGGTCCTGCCAGAGAACGTGGGGCGGCTGCTCTGGTACAGAGCCCAGTGCTGGGCTCCCTGCCCGGGTGCCTGGCAGAATCTCAGCAGGGGCTGAGTGGTACGGGGTTGCTGCCCCCTTCCCTCCGCGCCAGCATCTGCCCTTGTCTCCCACGCTGGTGGAGCGGCTCTTCCATGGGCACCATACCCCAGCCCCTGTTCCTTGCGGGCCCACGTTTCCATGAGATGGAAGTGCTGGAAGACGCGGCTCCCTGTGCGCAAGGCTGGTTGGCCCAGAGGCGCTGTTCTCCTGCTGTCTGGCCCAGGGAGACGCAGCAGCACTTTCCAGCCACCTGTGCTCAAAGGGCTCGGAAGGAAGAGAGGAAGCTCAGAGGTCAGGGCAGGGTCCTGGTGCCCTGGCTCGAGTGTGTTGCTCTGTGTGCCGGCCCACGCCTCTGCCCTTCCCATCCTATGCTGGGCTTCCGGCCTGGGGCCCGGTGGGAAGAGCCAGGGACTCCTGGTGTCAACCCCGGGGCTGAGTTTTTATTAAGCCACGTGGCGTGTCTCGTGCTGGCAGCAGAGGATCCACGCCACGAACACCAGCGCTGAGCAGGGGGCTCCGTGCCGTCCCTGCGAAGCCCTCTCCGGAAGGCAGGCAGGAGCTAGCACAGGGACATGGGCTTGGGCCTGCCTCGGAGCGAAGCTTTCCTAGCTCTCCTGCCCCGGCCTTTCCAGGAGTCTGCACAGCCAGAGAGATGCAGGCCAAGCCCGTGTCCACATGGCTAGCTCCTGACTGCTCCGGACAGGGCCATGCCCAGGCTGCCTGGACCCCCCTGCTCAGCGGCTGTGTTTGTGGTGTGGATTCTTCTGCCGCCAGGGGGCAACTGGAGTTGGAAGCAGCGTCCCAGGGTGGCTGCGTCTTTCTGTAGAGTCAGAACACTCGGACTGGCAGGGACCTCGAGAGGTCAACGAGGCCAGTCCCCTGCCCTCACGGCAGGGCCCAGCACTGTCTAGACCGGTGTTTCGCAACCTTTTTTTTAATAAAGTACCCGTTAAAAAAAAATGATAAATACCTCCTCCCCCTGCCTCTCCCCACCTCTCCCCCCATGCCCACAGTTTTCAGACACACAGTTTCTACATTGCAACATATTTGTTTAAACAACTTAATCATATCCGGGCGGGCCATGAAATTTTTGGGTGGAAAAAATACAAAAATAATAAAACTCTGTAAAACATAAAACAAAAATTCAGTTTTCTCCAAATTTCCGTTGTGTTGATGCACCCCCCAGACGCCTCTCGAGAACCCCAAAGGATACTCAGACCGCTGGTTGAGAAACACTCGCCTAGCTCATCCCTGACAGGTGTCTGTCCAACCTGCCCTTAAATCTCTCCGGTGATGGAGATTCCACAACCCCCCCCAGGCAATTGATTCCAGTGTTTCACCACCCTGACAGGCAGGAAGTTCTTCCTAATGTCCAACTTTAACCTTCCTTGCTGCAGTTTAAGCCCATTGCTTCTTGTCCTGTCCTCAGAGGCCAAGGAGAACAATTTTTCCCCTTCCTCCTTTAGGTACACCCGTTTAGATACTTGAAAACCGCTCTCACGTCCCCTCTCGGTCTCTCTTCTAAACTAAACAAGCCCAGTTCTTTCAGTCTTCTCTCATGGCTCATGTTCTCTAGACCTTTCATCATTCTTGTTGCTCTTCTCTGGACCTTCTCCAGTTTCTCCATCTTTCCGGAAATATGGTGCCCAGGACTGGACACACGACTCCAACTGAGGCCTGACCAGCACAGAGCGGAGCGGAAGAATGACTTCTCGTGTCTGGCCCACCTCACGCCTGTTGAAGCAGCCCAGAACCACGTTTGCTTTTTTTGCAGCAGCGTCCCACTGTGGACTCTCATTTAGCTTTTCGTGGTGTCTCTCTTCACAGCTGGGGTCCGGATGACGATGGCAAAACTGTGGATGGCCCTCACCAGCTAGGAAAGGTATAAAACGCCGAGCCAGCCCCAGGGTGACCCTTGGCCTGGGATGTGCTGGGCCAGGCTGCAGCCTGCAATTCTCGGTTTGCCTAAAGGCCAGAGCCAGAGGGGACTGCCCTGTGGTGCAGCGAGCCCTTGCGTGGCCCCAGCGTCCATGTGAGGTCACCCTGCCACGGGGAGACACGGCGTTCCCTCAGGGAGGGCGGCAGCTGGGCCAGAGTGCAAGGGGCTCCACTGAGAGAGCCCGGGAACACGTACGGGACACTAGCCCCCGAGGAGTGGGAGAAACGGCAGGGGACATGGCTCTGGAGGGGCATGGGCAGGTGTCGCACGGTGCCCTGCCTAGGAGCAGGAGGGGGCTGGAAGGGAAAAGAAGGAAGGAGTGATTTGTGGGTGAACCCACCTAGCAGCTGGAGGGGCTCCCTTCCCTCTCCCCAGCCTAGCTGTTCTGCCAGGTCTCTGAATGGCACCATCACCCCTTGCAAGCGAGGACGTCCCTGGGGCTGTGGGTTTGTCCAAGCAGCACCTGGAACAACCCCCGGAAAATCCTGGCAGGATCCAGGCTGCTCACGCCCGTGCAGCCTGCGGCCTGGCCCCTTTCTGGCCCTAGCACCTCACTGAGATGCTGATGCTCTCGGCTTCCACTCAATCAGCATTTCTCCCAGCCTGCTGCGCGCTAGCTCTCCCCCCGTGCGCCCAGGGCCCGGCTGGCTTCCCCAAAACCCACAGCCCCGGGAACGTCCTCGCGTGCAAGGGGTGATGGCGCTATCCAGAGACCTGGCAGAGTTAACAGGCAGCCGAGCAGGATTATGGCCTGCCGGGGGCCAGATGACCCCAGCTCTCCAGCAGCAGCCGGAACAGCTAGAGTAAGAGTGTCAGGGTCAAGCCCCCAGTTTTAATCCAGAGCACACTGGAGTCAGGGGAGCTATTCCCGTTGGCTTCAGCGGCTTCGGGACCAGGGCCCATCTGCGTGTGGCTGAGGGGGTCCTGTGGCCATCGTGGTGAAAGTGTGCAGCGCTCCTTGGGGAAGCACATGGGAGGCTGCGGCTGCGAGTGAAGCTGTGGAACTCCTTGCCCTTGGAGACTGGGATGGGCACATCCCTCCTCTCTGCCCAGGCAGCCCTCTGAAAGTGTCTTTGCCCCTTCCAAAGCCCTTTCTGCAGAACAGCCCATAGAAATGCACGTAACCGAGGGGCGCTGGAGAACACTGACAGCCTTCACCCTTTGCTGCTTGTGGTGCGTGTGATGCCTGGAGCTTGCAGTGATGGGCTCAGCTAGGCAATGCCTCCTTTGCAGTACTCACCTAAAAATTGAGCAGCACGGCTCGTGTCTTGCTCTCCCCTACCACCGTTCACACTGCTCGCTGTGCAGCGCCTTTGCCGTAGTTCTGTAACCGCAGAGCGACACTCGCCCTGCAGCGCGGTGCCACGGATACAGCATATGTCTCTGTCACATCATGGTTCCAAAGGGATTCCGGTTGGGCCTGTTCATTTATTCTTACCCAGCATTCGCAGGCCTCTCCGAAGGCCGAGACCAGCTCTGGTCTGCAGCTGGCCGTGCAGCTGGAGAGACTGACCCGGAACAAACGTTCTCCGAGGGGCTTTTTGAAAGGGCCTTGCCCTTGACCCTGCTCAGGAGCAGCCAGGAGAGGCAGATGCTACTTACAGCCGTGTCTGGCGCTTGCCCACTTCCATCACACACGTGCCCTTTGCATGGGGGTGGCCCATGGGAAATGCAGACAGAAGTTCCGGGCTGCAAAAAAGATGCTTTCCAGGCAGCGTTAGCAAGGCTGAGTTCTACACTAGACAGAGGAGTCAGAAATGCATGTGGCCGGGGGGGGGGGGGCGGCTTGCCGGGGGGCCAGCGCCACAGCAGAAGCTACAAACCCAGCTAGTCAGTCTCTCTCTGCAGCAGAAAAGCTGATCCCAGCCGGAGCTCTGCCAATGCCCAAGGTGGCTTTCCCTGGAGGCCAAAATCTGCTTTGTTTTTTGCTTTGCACGACCGGTAGCTGCTTGTGTTAAATGATGGCGGGGGGGGGGGGGGGGAT